TGGAACCTGCAACCCAGGTACATGCCCTTGACCAGGAATCGAACCCGAGACCTTTCGGTGAGAGAGCCGGTGCTCTAACCACTGAGAACCTGGCAAGATTCTTAGCAGTCAGGGCGCTGCAGCTTTCTGCTGGGAGGCAGCCAGGCACCACGCGGGCGGGTCCTGGGGAGCTCACTCTACGTGGAAAGGATGATCAACGTCCTCACAATCACTGGCACCGGTCACCGCATGCATCTTTCAAGGGCGTGTCCAGGCCTCGGGCCTCAGGCCTTGGAGAGCGGGTCCTAGGGAGCTCACTCTATGTGGGAAGGATGATGAACGTCCTCACAATCACTGGCACAGGTCACCGCATGCATCTTTCAAGGGCGTGTCCAGGCCTCGGGCCTCAGGCCTTGGAGATGGGCTGGGGGAGGTAAGCTTTCTGAGGCCTGGGTCTGCATCTCTAGCTCTCTGCCGTTGCCCAGGGCCTACTATCGTGCTGGGCACACAGTAGGTACTACGTAAATATTTGTTGGGGGACTGAGTGAGTGGAGGAAACGAAGATGAGGATGCAGACACGGAAGGGCCCGGCCAGTCCACTCAGGGTTCCTGTTGGCCCCCGGGCAGTGGACCAGGAGGTCACTGCACCAATGGTGCTGGCTGGGAGCCGAGTCCAGGGCCAAGCACTGGGGAGCGCCCACCTGTCAGCACAGCTTGGGCATCAGGGAGGAAAGGGGCTGGAAGGCCGAGCCAGGCTGGAGGAGCAGCGGGAGAAGGTGGAGAGACAGATGGAGGGACAGGTGGGAGCCATCCAGGAAAAGAGACAGAACGAGGGTGTGGAAGCGGGCGCTGGGGACAATGCCAAGGAGGAGCGCTTTCAATTTTGCCAAAGAAAAAGCAGCCCTCCGTCCACCGGCACCGGGGCAATCTTCCTGTTCGCTGTTTCTCTGGTTATCACTTGGGGCCCCTCAGCACCCAGAGCACGGGCAGGAGCACCTGTGGCACCGGCAGACTCGGTTTCATTCATCGGAAGCGTACACACTGGGAAGAAGCCGTCTTCCCCGAGGCCACGTTCTCGGTTCAGCGCACAAGAGTAAGGCCCAGATCTTGGATTCTGGTTCTGCCGGCTCACGCGTTAAGGCCTGGCAATGAGCCTGCAGGAATGGTGTGCAGGTGAGGGTCTCTCTCACCTTGGCCATGACAGAGAGATGGCCCAAACCAGGACCGTCCAGGCAGGCAAAGCAGCCCATCTGGGAACTTGGAGGCCGAGACCCCAGCCTGCAGAGAAGGGAGCCATCCGGGCACAGGACCTGGGGAGGCAGCTGCAGGTGAGTCCTCGGAGCAGATCTGAGGCAGGCGCACGGCTAACTGGGGCTCCACAAAGCTCGTCTTTGGGGCCCCTCAGGGTCTCTGAGGTGCCCAAGGAGACACTGGTGGTGCACTAAGAAATGGATGGTGTTGCCCAGCCAGTGTCAGTGGTTGAGCATCAACCTATGAACCAGGAGGTCAGAGTTCGATTCCCGGTCAGGGCACATGCCTGGGTTGCTGGCTTGACCCCCAGTAGGGGGCTTGCAGGAGGCAGCTGATCCAGGATTCTCTCTCATCATTGATGTTTCTATCTCTCTCCCTCTCTCTCTCTCTCTCTCTCTTCCTCTCTGAAATCAATAAAAATACTTTTTGTTACACACAGTAAGGGTTCGGTGCATCAATGCTGGCTTGCAGTTGAGGGGGTGTATACATACATAATTTAAAAAAAGAATGGTGCTGGTCCCATCTGAGTCAAGGTTTGAGAGATGGCCACAAAAGGGTCTTCTCTGAGGAGCGGGGGCCTGCTTGTCTGTCCCACCAGCACAGGCGCCTCAGCGCACCTGCTAAAGCAGGGGTCCTCAAACTTTTTAAACAGGGGGCCAGTTCACTGTCCCTCAGAGCATTGGAGGGCCGGACTATAGTTTTAAAAAAAAACAACTATGAACAAATTCCTATGCACACAGTGGTGGCAAAAACACCCGGCGGGCCGGATAAATGTTTTCGGCGGGCCGCATGTGGCCCGCGGGCCGTAGTTTGAGGACCCCTGTGCTAAAGGGTAGACTAGACCATATCCGGGTCCCGCAAACGTGACAATTCCCGTGAACGGTGGGAGAGGGCAAAGAAAGCACTCTGCTGGCTCAGAGCCAATGTAGACGCCAGGTCAGACTCATACCAAGCTACGGGGTCACACCGTGTGAACCACTTGATCATCATTACAAGGATGACATCGAACAATGACACCAGGAGCACGTGCCGTGTGACAGTGCCCAGCGGAGCGTACGGAACACAGCAGGTGCCCGTGAGTCCTTGCTGAACATGAGTCCAGCCCTTTACCTGCCTTACTTCGGTCCACCCCACGCGGCAGGTGAAATGATCCCTGATGAATAGGAACTGAGGCGAGAAGCGAAGTAACTTGCCTGAGATCACAGTCCTCATTAGCACAGTCAGAACCCTCACTGGGCCCAGGCATGCGGGTCAGTGGCTGGCAATGACCTCTCCCCCAGACCGTGCAACTACCTAAGGGCACAGAGGCCTGAGCCTCTAGCACAGCGGTTCTCAACCTGTGGGTCGCGACCCCTTTGGCGGTCGAACGACCCTTTCACAGGGGTCGCCTGAGACCATCCTGCATATCAGATATTTACTTTACGATTCATAACAGTAGCAACATGACAGTTATGAAGCAGCAACGAAAATAATTTTATGGCTGGGTCGCAACAGGAGGAACTGTATTTAAAGGGCCGGAAGGTTGAGAACCACTGCCTAGCACATGGTTGCCAGCGAACAGGTGAGATGCAGACACCCTTCTTGGTGACGCTGGACACCTCTGTGATTTCCTGCTCTGTGGACAGCCAGCTGCAGGCGGCAGCGCGCAGCCACTTCACGGGTGTTTGTTCTGAGTGCTCCCTGTCGCCATGGTAACCCAGAAGCCTTTCAGGCTGGCAGGGTGCACACACAGGGCCCGCATCCATCCCATCTGGGGTGGGAATGTGTCACCATAGAAACAGCTTCCCCCACCTTACCGAAGGGCTGTTTGACAGACAGGGGTGGGGGTGGAGGGGCTGGGAGCTCAGGGCTGGGGCAGGACGCACCTTGGCCAGGCTGGCAGTGAAGAGAACGCACTCAAAGAGCTGGCCCATCCTCTGGAGGAACTCGTCCACGTGCGGCCGCTTCAGCACGTACACCTGCAACGGCAGGAAGCAGCACGTGGCGTGAGAGCAGGCACCGGGGGTGGCCCGGGTCCGACCGCCAGTGCAGGGAGGGTTCCTAAAACGACCCCTGGCCCCGCCTCCTGCCTGCGGGGTCTATGAGCCGGAGGAAGACCCGGATTTTATGAGGGGCTCGTACTCTGGTGTGGCACTTCACGCCGGACACACACTTCAATTGGGCTCCGGGTCTGAGTCCGGGTCTACGCTCCCCCCCCCCTCTCCCCCCAAACCACAAAGGAAGGCTGGGCAGGGTCCCGAGGGCCTGGGATTTTCAGACCCAGGGAATGGAAGGGCCGTGCCCTGTTTGTGAGAAACAAGTCATTCATTTCACTGTGTTTCTGGGCACACGCTCTGGGCGAGGCTGTGTATGGACCCAGGCCGTGGCGAGGGGCATCCCTTGGAGGTCCAGGCCTGGCCCAGCAGGTCCTCCGATGGGAACGCCTCCCTCGTGGGCTTGGGGAGGCACCGTGGACACCACAAAGGGCCTGCACTTGGACTTGGAACAGAAATGAATGGTTCGGGGTTTTGAAGCAGCCGAATCCCAGGCCCCAGACAGGAGCCATCAGGAGGGGCTGCCCCGCAGTGTTTTCTAGAGGGGCGGGGCCCCGTGCTCCTGAATGAACAAATCCGAGGAAACGGAGATGGTCGGGAAGGCAACGCTGGTGAGAAAGTTAGAGGAGGTAGGAGGAGGGGAGAACTAATTAAAACCTGAACAGATTCCAAGCGAAATTAGCCACGTCCCTAAAATAAATCAGACTTGTTAAAATTCAATTCAGTTTGTGTTCAGAGCCACGGCTCCGTGCTCAGCCTGAAGCAGTTACAAAGATGAGTAACACCCAGGCCTGGCCCTTCAAGAGCGCACAGTCTAGAGCGGACACACACACAAAACAGACCAAAATAAGCATGCACAGCCAGAGTTACAGCAGAGGCGTACATTAAGGACAATCAACTGCCCTCGGAAGGGGAGGGAAGCATAGAAGCTAATGTTTAGCCTGGGCCTTGAGGGATGAATAGGAGTGCACCAGGCCAATAAGGAAAAGCGAGCTTCCCAGCAGAGGAAACAGTAATAAGCATGAGACCTGGACTGGAAATAGGTGGGGGTGTCAGAGAATGGCCCGTGCCCTGCGCGACCAGCCCTCCAGCGACAACCATTGAAGAAGGGAGATGGGGGAGAGGAGAAGTGGCCGAAGACGAGGTGTGAGAGACAGGTGGGAGCGAGTATGCGGGGAGCAGGTTGGACATCCTAGAAGAGGAGGAACAGAGGGGAGATGAGGGTTCTGTACCACACAGGAATTCCTTTTTTTTTTTTTTAAATATTTTTATTGCTTTTGGAGAGGAAGGGAGAGGGAGAGGGAGATAGAAACATCAATGACGAGAGAGAATCATTGATCATCCGCCTCCTGCATGCCTCCTACTGGAGATGGAGCCTGTGACCCGGGAATACCCCCTGGCTGGGAACTGAACCATGACCTCCTGGTTCATAGGTTGATGCTCAACAACTGAGCCACCGTGGCTGGGGCACACAGGAATTCTATAGAGCCAGGACTCGGTGGGAAACTCGTGGCCGACTGAAAGAGTAAAGTGAGCATGAGTCTGTGGCCGAGGGCGCAGTGAGGGGCCAGGGGTCTGTGGAGCTGGGAGGCCGGGTGGGGGCTGAGGGCGGGGCCAGTGGCTGCAGCAGCTCCAGGCGCTCTCTTTGCCCAGGAGCCTCTTGGTGCAGGGAATGGCGTGGCCCGGGGTCCTCAGTCTCCCTGGGCATGCTGCTTGGAAAGCAAGCTTCGCTGCCAGCAAGGGGCAGGAGGCTGCTTTGGGAACTCTGGTGTTGGTGCCTCTGGCCGAGAGGAGGGTCCGGGGCCCGGAGGCCGGCGTCCAGGCCCGCGTCCCCGTGCAAGTAACCGAGAATAGGCCCATCGGGACCTGCACAGCCTATCCTGGATTACTTGAACGAGGCCACGGCCTCGCCAGGGCTTTGGTCCTCCTCCTGGCGCCTGTGGCTTCATTCCCTTGGGACAGAGAGTGTTTGATCCCCGCCCCGTGCCCTGGGGTCTCATAGAAGAGTCTGGAGGGAGGCTGGGGGAACTGGTCTGGACACAGCAGGTCAGGCCCCAGAGGGTCACAGTCACGAGGTATTAATGTCTCTCCTCATTCTTGCCATGCCAGCGGGCAGCCTCGCCTTAGCCTTCGGCTCATTACTTTGTAACATGAGCCAAGATAATAAGTGCAGCAGCCTTAACTGCTTCTCAGATGCTAAGTTAATTCAGGGGATGCTTTTGCAAATGTTAAATGCCCAAGGGCCTGCCGTTCTGGCTCCCCTGATGGCTTTTAAAAGCATGAAGTGTGGAGATGCTAGGGACAAAGCTGCCTCCTCCAGGCGCGGCTTCCTGGCAGGGCCTCCTGGCAGGCAGGAAAGGGACTGAAGTGTCAGGGGAAGAGTCTCATTTGAATTCTTTATGTTGTACTGCCCTTGAGACAACACGTTCTCTGGCTGAGCCCCGGTTTCCCCCTCCGGACATGAGGTGGCCAGACCGGCTGATTCCCAGGGCCTTGGCAGTTCTGACACCCTCCAGGACCAGAGGCTACGGGTCTTGCTAAGGAGACACATCCTGTTATGGGTCAAGTACCGGGAGAGAGAGAGAGTTCCCTTCCTGGGATGTGAACTATCAGGCCAGAGGCTCCCACTTCAAGACCGCTGCACGGACAGAAAGATAGATGGTCAGATCACCTCTGTGGGAACACCCACCAAGGCCCTGCAGCCTTCAAAGCTACTTTTCCTGCCATGTTTCCAGTATGTTCATAAATGAAGTTATTCCCGGGGGAGCTTCATGCAGATAAGGAGGAAAAATCAGGACCAAGATGCAAGCCAACGGACTAGGCTCTCTATGCAACGCCGCCCGAGGATCCCAAACTCACACACACCCTTCTTCCTTTCTCTAAAGATTCCCTGGAGAACATGGTGCAGGAGCGACAAGATCAGGCCGGAGCGGCCGGCATGGGAAACGGACCCCCTTTCCTGAGAATCCACCGTAAGTGGCTGCTGTGCGGCCTTTTCCTGTCGCCTGCTAGGAGAGTCGCCGAAAGCAATTACACGAGGAAATTAATTAGACCATCAGGCCAGACCAGCGGAGGGCACGGAAACCTCTAAACGCCTGCATCAAATCAAAGAACGATTTGAACTTGCCACCACATCTGATATTTATAATTCCCCTTATAACCTCAGGATACACATTTAAGAGTGAAAAGAAAAAGGGCAGGATACCGTTGTATTTACTTTACAAAGCTGGCTTCCTTTTGATTCAGTAATAAGATTATTACTGAAATGGGACGTTCAAGTCCAGAAGAAATGTAATTACTAAAACATGCTCATCGAAACTCAGATTTTGGCTCTGATTTCTTACCTGATGTATCGTTCCATCGATTTCAACCGGAACAATAAAATCGGCGTTACTAATAGGCTAGAGAGAAAAGAAACCCTCGTTAATACGTCTCGAAGGGTGAAATAAAATGGAAAATTTTAGCGAGAAAAGCGCTTGCCTGGACCAATGTGTTTACTATTGGGAAAAACAGTTCAGAAGGATGTTGGAGCGCGCCTGGGTTCCTTAAAACAAGCACAAGCAGGAGAGCATATTATTATTATTTCAGAATATTGTTACATTTTCAGCATCTCGGTCCAACCTCTTCATCAACCACTAAGGGGG